TTGTTTTAATTTTTGTCATTAGTCTCTTGAAACAGTCATATATTTCTCCAAACACTATAAATGTCATGAGAAAAAAAAACACTTTAAATTCCAAATGCTTTTTTTTTGGGTCCCATGAGGATAACATGAACAAATCCAACATAGATGAAATACAAGCAAGTCCAAGACTTTTAATGTCAGCTCAGTTCAGATCATCTCATGTTGCTTATAGGACCAACCGCTCCACTGCAACTGCAGCAACACTAAACAAAAGGCTTCGTCAACACGATGCAATAATCTGAAGAAAAACAAGATCTCACTCGTTTAAGATTTAGCCTAACATTTGTTCAGGAAAAATAAACGACAAATGTACAAATGCTTTTTTGGAGATTATACTAAATTCAGCACCACACTGAATCAATCACTCCTTGGGTTCCGGGGCCAACGATCAATCACCATTTGTTTCTACGCCCCAATGGATCTATATTAATTTAAAACAGCTGACAGTTAATTATAGTCACACACAGTTCACGATCTCCCCAATAGCCCTTAAATACAGAGGGAAAGGGCTGATGGGAAAACATAAGATACCAAGACAAAGAAAACTCTGGACTTGGGTACAGAAAATATTGTGAACACGCATCCTTCTAGTATCACTGCTTTATCCATCTGGATTCACTCTGTCAGCTGCAATGAGCTCATGCCTGTGTGTTTCACCAGCTCAACACTACCCACAGAAAAAAAACAGCTCTGAGAATGCAGAAAGAACACTTAAGCCTGACATTTACAATCACCTCAGTGTTAACGCAGCCACGGGAATCTGGCCCAATCCCTCGAAAAAAAAAAAAAAAAAACCACTAGGCTCGCTTCAAAAACTAAAACAGGGTGTATCATATGACTACACTAAGACAAGACTCTTATAGCTCAAAGATAAGAGTTTCAGAGCAATCAGGAGGGACAGTGGAGCTGATTTCAGCAGATGTAAGGTTCTCGCACTACTGTCCATTTCCTCATTGAGGAATCCGATTCCAGAGTTCACTGCTGTCAGGCTTGCAGGACAGAGCTCTGCGGTTCTTTTCAGCAAGATTGGCAGTATTGTCTAGCGAACTGCCAAAATCTAAAGTGATACATGGTGAGCTGGAGGAAACAGCCCATTGTAAATGTAATTTCCCTTCACTGTATGACTAGCAGTGTGACATTCTATCACCAGCCAAAGCACTGTGAGCTTCAAGGAAACTTGTCTACCCGCAAAAAATAAAACAAGCAGTAGTTTTTCCTGACATCAGAACTTTTTTTAAAAAAGTAACATTTTTCAAACAGCGGGAGAGTATAGGATCAATGATCCCGTTTTACTTCAAGACTCACCACTGCACAAGGGAAATAGTGTAAAAGTACAATGGACATCCTACTGGCAGCAGGAGCACAAGAGTCAGATTTCACTTATTCTCTGGGGTATTACACCTCCTGGTGGTGGAGCGAAGCACTGCACTAAAATATACTGAGATCAAATGGCTAGACTAGTGAAGAGTTAACGGTTTAAAATATTTCTATTTATGTCCTTTATTCAATAACTTGGGAAATTCAAAATAACTACTGTGATCTCTTAACCATCATGTTCATATATGTAGAAACGAACTGCATTTACATGAATACTCAAAACAATTAGACAATTGTGTGTGTAATTCTCCGTTCATGCGACGTGAAAGAGTAGGCCTACTCGCGCGCTGTGAGACACGTTTCGGTGCGTGTATATGCTTGTGTCTGCGCTCAGAAAACTGGACCGAAATTAGTTCTTTCTTGCGTCGTCAGATTTATCCGTCTGCTCTTCTCTTACTCCCACATATTGACATTTTTTAACATTTTATGTGACGTGCAGCAAGTTTATTTCAGCTTATGTCCCGCCGGTTCATATGTACACATCTAACCTCCTAACTACGCAGCAGATTCGTTCTGAAATTTAATGAATCTCTTCCAAAATCATCCCTCCCCAACATTTGTGTCTCATTTTTATTCGTTGGTGAAAATGTCAATATATTTTCGTCATAGTTTGTCATTTAAAAAGTTTGTTTGTTATAGTCTAGTTGTCGTCAGTGAAAAAAAAATGTCGTTGATGAACATCATGAAGAAAATTAATAGTCAATGAAATGAACACTGGTACTGTCAAAAACCTTCATTATTATTCTTTTTTTTTAATTCTAACAAATAAGTTCTTGTTAAAAACTAACCAAAATTAAAAATTATATATATATATATATATATATATATATATATATATATAATATTATTGTTGAATTTACTTTAATTCAATGAAAATGGTTTAAAAATATATTTAATGGGGGGAAAAAGACAGAAGTAGTTCTTCATGATGTTTTTATTGCCGTCACACACAAGCATTGGTTCCCAGTCTAGGTTTGAAAATATAATTGTTTACACAATTAAAAATACCGAAGCATACAAACTCTTCATTCAATTCATTCAGCTTGCCAAATAAGACTACAGATCATTAGCTATGAACATAATGCTATCTATGCATTACAGAAACCATTTCAAGCAGCCCTGAAAAAAAGATGCAGTGTTTAATTCATTGTAACCTTTGATCTTGCAAATATGTAAGAATTTACATGGCGTATTTACATTTATGTTGTTTAAGATTTCTATGATCCACAAACTTCTTCCCACAGCTCTCACAACTAAACGACTTCAGACCGGTGTGCACTCGCTGATGGGTCCTCAGATGCACAGCCTGATTGAACGTCTTACCACAAACATCACAACCAAAAGGTCTCTCCCCCGTATGGATTCTCATGTGCATCTGAATACTGCTGGAATACCCAAACCTCTTTCCACAAACCTCGCAACTATAGGGCTTTTCCTTCGTGTGAACCCTCTGGTGTACTGTAAGGGCGGCTTGTGAGTAGAACTTCTTTTGACAATGATCGCAACTGAACTTCTTCAACAAAGGACTGACCAGTCGCTCGTGATGCTTCTCTCCTGTATGTACAAGCATGTGCTGATTAAGAGAACTGGGGAATATGAAGGCCTTATTACAGATCGAACACACACAATCCCTTCTTCCTGCGTGAATGATTCGCTTGTGCCTTTTCATGTAGTCTGAACTGGTAAATCCCTTACCGCAAACGTCGCAAAGAAACGGTTTGCTTGAAGTGTGTTTGTGCATGTGCATCTTCAGGGCGTACGCTGTGGTGTACCTTTTCAAACATATCGGACAGCCGTACAGCTTCACTCCCGTGTGACCGGCTTTGTGCCTGTTGAGGTTTCCAGTGGTGGCGAACTTCTTCTCGCATACGTCGCAAGCGTATCGCTTTTCCCTTGTGTGCACGAGCATATGCGCTTGCAAATGTTTGCGAGCGCTGAACCGCTTGTCGCAGACTTTGCACGGATAGTCGAAGGTTTTCTCGATGTGACTCTTCTGGTGATTTTTCAAATATCGCTCGCAGCTATAAAAAGCGCCACATATCTCGCAACAGTAGGGCTTCTCGCCGTTGTGCAGTGTTTGGTGGTCAAGCATGTTTTGTTTTATTTTGAACTGCTTGTCACATACGGGACAGTTGTAGAGCGTTTCGACTGCTTTGCATCTGTGTCTGCCGAACGAACGCTTGCCGGGAAAAATCTTCTGACAGTTTGGACAAGTAACCGTCTTTTCTGCCGTATGAAGACGCTTGTGCTTTTCCAGGGAGGCCTGAAATACAAAAGACTTGGAACATATATCACATTTGAATAGCTGAGCTCCAGTGTGCATCGCTGCGTGTCTGATGAGGCAGCTTCTCATAGTAAAGCGCTTATCGCAGTGCGAACATTTGTAATGTTTCACATGAGCCCGAACGTGGTTAATGAACTTCCACCTCAGTTCAAAACACTTCCCGCATGTTTTGCATCGGAACAAACCATCATTCGACTGCTTTATCATATCCGTGTTAGGTGTGGTGTTGGGCTGGTTGTCTGTGTTTTCGATGGTAATATTTAAACCTTGCACAAATGATTCGGTCACATACGGACTGCTTTCCAAAACAGCACAAGATACGTCTTCGTTGTCCAAGTTACTTTGGAGAATTTCTGTGAGGGGAAGAAAACAGAGTGTTTAAGAGAAACAGACTGAAAAATGTAATTAAAATAATTATACTTTTTTTTTAATTTGAAAATATTGGTCATTATGGGTGCACCCAGTAATTTTTCACTCATTGCATTTTACATAAATTAACAATAAAAAAAATGACTTTTTAAATAAATATTAAAATCATATACATGACAGTTTTACATACACTACCATTTACAAATTTGGGGTCAGTGTGTTTTTTATTATTTATTTTTAATTTATACTTTTATTAAATAAGACCACATTAAATTGACCAGATAAAGTGGAAATGAATACATTAATAATGCTACAAGATAACAAGGCTGGCTTTGCACAAAGGCTATTTCTAAAAAAAAATAAATAAATAAAAGGGTCAATTCCGACTTTGCTATGACAATCTGGCGCTTCCGAATCAGCGGAATCTATTCCCCAAATAGAAATAAATCTATCAGTTTTCAAAAAAGTATTGAGTAATGGCTGCTGAAAATTTAGCTTTGCCGTGACAGGAATAAACCATTTAAAACTGAAATTACACCAAATACACAAAATAATGATCTTTAAAATAGCATCATATGAC